AGAAGGCAATAAGATTTGTTTGGCATGACCTGTTCTTAACAAACCCATGCTGGCTTCTAGTCATTTCTAGGTGCTCACAAATCCACTGCTTGATTACCTTTTCCACTGCTTGATTACCTTTTCCAGAATTTTCCCAGGTATTGATGTCAAGCTGATTGGTCTGTGGTTTCCTGGATCCATATTTTTCCTCCTTTTAAAGATTGGAACCATATCAGCTCTTTTCCAGTCCTCTGGCAATTCCCCTGTGCTCCAGGAGCTCTCAAAGATTTCATTCAGTGGTTCTGAGATTACATCTGCCAGCTCCTTCAGTAACCTGGGGTATAAACCATCCAGTCCAGGAGACTTGAACTTGTTCAGAGCAGCTAGGTGTTCTCTAACCAATTCCTTACCTATCTTAACATGCATTCCTCTTCTGTCTCCCACGGTGCTGATTTTGACAGGCTGGACTATTTTTTCCTTTTGCATAAAGACAGATGCAAAAATGGAATTAAGCAGTTCCACCTTCTCCCTGCTGTTCATCATCTTCTTGCCATCTTCTCCCGCTAGCGGGCCAACCATTTCCTTGAATTTCCTCTTGCGCCTTATGTATTGAAAGAAACTTTTTTGTTGTTATTTCTGGCATTTGTTGCAAGTCTTAGCCCATTCTGAGCCTTAGCCTTCCTGACTCCATCCTTGCAGATTCGGACTATTTGCTGGTATTCTGCTCTAGTTACAAGGCCCTCTTTCCATTTTTTATAGTTGTCCTTTTTGTCCCTCAGCTTGACAGAGAGCTCTTTGTGCAATTATGCTGGTCTCGTCAGGTGTCTCTTGTTTTTCTTTCTCTGTGGTATTGTTTTTGTTTGGGCCTTATTGTTACGGGAGTAGTAAGAAAAAGAAGTTCAGTTCTGTCCTATTTCATAGTTTCCTACTGAAAATTAGCCTTCAGGTTGCTCTAACCTTTTCTGGAGATAAAATAATGTTCGTTCTTTTCAATGGTAGTGAAGTTAGTTAGAAGAAGTAATCTTCAGAGTCAAAAATACAAGAACAGAAAGAGTTAAAAAGCTCACCATATCTGGCTGAAATCTTCCACAAATAATAAGAGAACTATAGTAAATATACAAATTGACTTTGAAGGGCTGTAAACTGTGTTTCTCTAGCCTGGTTCCTTCCAACTGCTTTAGAACGGCAGTCTATAGAATTTTCCATTATTATCAACGAAGAACAAAATATTATGGCAAAGTTGCAACTTTTTTTTCAGGATAAGGTCCACATTTGAGTGATGCCAAGGACCAAATTAGAGCTAAGAACAACAACAACAAAAAATCTTATACAGTTTTATGTACATTTAAATGTAATTGAAAATAATACAATTTAATTAATAAATCCCAATTAATATACTTAATTATATATTTTTTCTGTCTTTCCTATCACATTAAACATTTCAAGCCCATTGCAACTTTCTCCAAAGCTTTCTGGTCCACAGTCAAAGTTAGGGGGTGTACCTGCAGCCCTGTGGACCTAGGTTGTGTCTCACTGCACTATGGCAATGCTTGGTTCACTTGTCAGTCTTCTCCTTTCATTTTATCTCATGTTTGGTCTCAATAGTTGCATCTCATTGAGTGGATTTTTGTAACAAAGTCCCCCGTCATTTAAGTGCAAGTCCAGCAGTCAACAAAATCTTAAACAGCTTTCCATGGAAATTTAACTGTATTCTGCAGTATCCTGCTCTCCCCTCTAACAGTCTGAAAATGACCTTGGTTCCAGACTATCTTGAGTAACTGGATAAGTGTGATCTTTCTCTAGTTGCTGAAAACCATGATATATAGGAATGATAAAGAAGTTACCTGTGACAAATAGGAGTCAGGATGACTACTGAGGCTAGCAACTTTTATCTTAGATTTATGAAATTCTATCATTTTTTGATTCTGTCTCCACACAACCACAGAACTTCTTATTAAGCAAATAGAGGATTTTGCTCTTAAAAATTACACATAAAAAAGAGCAGAGTAAAATTTTATTGTAAATTGAAATCCCTTTGTCTTAATATAATAAAATATTTCAGTATTTTGAACCACATTATTAGCCAAATGGTGTATTGTAATAATTTCAAGTCCCAATGAAATATCTAATAAGTACTGTAATAACGGCTGGAAAAATATGCTTTCATTATATGTTCTCAAGATCTCATTCAGCCTTCAGTGTTCCAGCTTTGTAGGACATTACTGGCCATGTCTATAATTTTATTAACTATTGCATAAAATTTATTATTGAATTACCAGTTGGACAACTTTTTTCACTGATTCCTAACATTCCTCATGCCAAGATTTTGAAACTACCTTCAAAATTCCCCTGATCACCATATCCTATAATGAATTTTGAGTGAATGTCTATACTATTTAATAGTTGCTGAAATTGTTGCTCCAAATCTTCTGGAGATTTGTTCATACAGATATTTCTGAGAACATTCTCTCAGACTTCATACCAACTATACCTTTGTGGACAATTAGAATATCAATCAAACATAGCTGACAAGAAAAATAACGTTTAAAAATAGTTCTTTAGAAGATGATAGATAGATAGATAGATAGATAGATAGATAGATAGATAGATAGATAGATAGATAGATAGAATTGCTAATTTGGGAAGGTTACTAAATCCCTTTCTGGATTTTGCAGTGAGTAGATATTAAAATTAAAGTTGCATAAGTGTTATATAAGGTCAAAATAATAATGAATTACAGCTACGGTTGCAGAAAAGTGAATTTTATTTACTCAGTATCTGAATGTTAATTTTTTAACATAATTCCTTGTATGTTTCTCTATTTTTTGTATTCTGCATTTTTCTATTTTTAATACAATTGTTTCTTTAAAGTTGCAGTGAATTTTAAAAAATTAGGTTCATGCAGACAGCAAAGTGGGAAGAGGTGCATGGATGCTACATCTTCTGGACAATGACTGATAATGTCCCAAATGATGTCTGTATACCCCTTGATAGGTTAGAAAACAAGAGATTTTTGCGGTATGCTCATGTAATGTTATATTGAGTTTATAACAAATAACTCAATGGGATCAGGCAGTTAATATCTGATATGCTGGCTTAGGTTGCAGCTGCTTATTCTTTTTAAAATTTCTTAAAACAAAATGTAATTATTCACTTAGAAAAGTGGAACCAACATTTAACACCATAGGCCCATGTAGCTTTTGAATACATTTCACAAATAAGCAAGCTAAGTGTTCTTGCAGTTTAAGACCAATGGGATGATTGACTACTTTGGTCAATTCCTCTCTCTGTGTCTAGATAAAGAGAGGGAAAGATCAGTAGGATACTCTCTGACATATCAAATATTTAGTATAATTGAGATGTAGTGAAAGGACATGATGTATCATTTCAGCAATTGCTCTGTTAATGATTAGATGGAATTGAGTAACAATGTGTAACAACTTGGATTTGGAAAACTAGTGGAAGAACTCAAAATCTCTTTTGAAGCTGAATATTGGGGCATATTTTTGCTCAGAAAGAACTAACAAATATTCAAAATATTTTATTTCATTTAAATTTGGAAATGTGAACATTTGATTGCTTGAATTATCACTGGAAAACATTCTCGTTTCAGAGCTGCCTTCATATTTTGAACCTAGGATTTATAAACAAGACAGCTCTCTTCTCACATTTAAGTACACTGGCTTTTATGCAAAGAATTCCAGTTTATATATCATTTCCTTCAGCATTGTAGATATCTGAAAATAACTGAAGACGTGGAAATTGCAGTAAAACTACTCCTGTTACCTGTGATGCTTGTGAGTATTTTTGTAATTCTTGTTTGAGCTGAATGACTGAATTGTTCAATCAACAAGACAAATACTTCATGAAGTTAATTTCTAGATAACCACTGAAGCTGAATGGCAACAAGGGTGGGCAGTCAAGAAGGGGGTTGGTCTAAACTGTTGATCAGATTACATAAAAGAATGCATTCTAGATCATGAAATGCAATTTATTTTATCTCAGGAGATTGGAACACAGTGATATTCGATACTGGAGTCATGAGTGGATGTCCATTTTGGAAGAACAAGTACCAGTGAGTACATTTCTCTTTTTTGTGAATAATAAAGAAACCAAAACAGATATTTGGATAAATAAAAACAAACAAAATGGATATATAAGCAACTATAATAATAATTTTTAAAAACCCTAGAAGCACCTGATTTTTGGAACCGTATTTTTAATTTTTTTTTGCAGTGCTTTTAATTGACAAAAAGAAAAAAGAATCAATCTTGTTGCCTTGTTAAAATTCAAATCATCACAATAGAGTAACATACATAGTTCTCTTCTGTTGGCAGTACTTAGCTCTGTTATCATTTGTTATTTCATAGATTTAACTTTAATAAACTGTCTTTGGAAGATGAGACAGATGACAAATCACAGGAAGGATTAAACAAGGCTAGCAAAGGTGGTCTTATCTATGGAGAGTACCTACATGTAAGTATGTGACTGTGGTCCTGTTTCAAAAATGACTGGTTTGCAACTGAATATTTCTCTAGCTTCTGTAGCAGTTTAGATATTCTTTATGATTGTGAAACCCTTGATTATTGAAATGAATCTTCAAAAGACTTTCACGTTTTAGCTACAGCTACTTGATCCGTCTTGATAGCCCAAGCAAGCAAAAAGCACCTGCCCCCCCCCACCCCCAAGTGGTTCACCCAAGTGGTTGGGTGGCTATGTGTCCTACTTTATAAAGGTCAGTTTTCAGTTTGAAGACTCCCTCCATCAACTATAGTTTTTTGAAGACTCTCCATTCTAAGTCTAGTTTATAAAGAACCAACCATCAATAGCATCTTGACTGCATAATGTATAGACAAACAGGTTACCTGGCATAGTCTTCTGTGTTATGGTGAGATATATGGTATTTAACTTGTGTGTGGTAATGTATTTCCTTTCTTAAATGGTGTGAAGGCTATTTTATCTACTGTAGGTATCTTGTTCAAAAAGAATAATCAGGAATAGTCTAGCATTGTGACGTAATGTGGTCTAGCAATTTTCTCTTTTCCCCCAGCAAAATATGTTTTGATTATTAGCATATTGGAGTCATAACAGGTAGAAGAATATGTTAGACTTTGACAGTTCTACTATAGATAACAATCATGGATTATTTAAAAAACAGTAAGGAGGCAGTGAAGTCTTGATGAGGCAGGAGGGAAATACCATCTTATGCTTTTATTTTTAAATTGATCATCTTTTTTCCAGCAGGGTTTCCCTGCCAGACAAAAATCAATAGGTAAAAAGTTGATCAAAAAAGCTCTACCAGTAGATGTGCAAGTTGAAACAAACCTGTTCTTATACAAAGCCATAATTCCCTGCACTAATGTTATGGTGAAAGTCACTTTTTATTAGCTATTGGGATTTTCCCTCCTCCCTCTCTCTTCCTGAAAGTTATTTTTTTCCTGCTGCTGCTGTGGGTAAAACTACAACTGGAGAGAGAACATTTTTCAGAAGAAAACGGCCTGTTTGATACTTAATTGCATTCAAGTGGGGGGCCCTGCAATAATTTGTTCATGTTAAACAGTGCTAGCTCAAGAGTACATGGCTTCCTTAGGCCACATTGATTAACAGCACCACCTCCCTTCAATGTGAACACTTACATTTTTAGAATGATTCCGAAGAAAGGACGGCACTGACGCCTCCTAATCTCTGCTACCCTGGTCACCCTTAACCTAAGGCCAGCCCTGTGAAGCATATATGTTTAAAGACATTGTACGTGTGGGTTCTGCTTTAAGGTTGTTCTTGTTGTTTTCAAAATATAAAAGACTGAACATCAACACTGAAGGGTGCATACTTAATAAAGACGTTCATTATTTGATACCAAATTAAATGACATTATCTGCAGAACTACTGAAATATCACCTTGGTCTTCTTTCTTTTAAAGCTGGATAAAATATTGAATGCTCAGGAACTTCAGAGTGAAAATAAGGGAAACAAAATCCATGATGAACATCTCTTTATTGTGACTCACCAAGGTAAATCCTGCTGAAAAAACTATGTAGTCCTTCCAGTTCATCTTATTATCTGATGATTACAAATACGTGTTTGCTTTTTAATAAACAGTGGTATTGCTCTACATAATGTTTTAATATAAGTAAAAGCATGTGTGCATTTAATATAACACTTTTTAGTTTCAATAACTACATCCCATCTGAAAATGCTGATGGGGGAATACTGTGAAATAGTCTTCAATTTTGGAACAATCCCTAGATTTCTTAAAACTAAAATAGGTTGAGTATAGGCAATCTTTCTAACTGATGTCAAAACTGCTAGCAGAGAAACTGAATATCCACGCAATACAAAGGAAAATGCAAATAAACTGAAATTCAATTCATTAATTAATTATCAATGTTGTGCTTATGATCCTATTTTGTCAATTTTTCTGTGATTTTTTTAAGCATGTACATCCATGCACAGGGACACCAATCTGATTTTGCATGTGTACAATTATTTTGTATTTATGTTCTATGCATGGTTCCTGGTTTCATTTAGTTTGATTCATAACTTTCCTTGGATTGGTTTACTCTGGTATGTAGGTGTTTCTAGTTTTGTTTTGCTAACTTTTAAAAAGTATTTTTAATGCAGTAAAATTCAATACATGCATTCTCTGTATTTTTAATGAAAACTACTCCTCTTGCTACATACTGCATCTGTGCATGTGCATATATGAGAGTGTGTGTGTTTATGTGTATATGTAGTGTATGCCTATTTTACAAATATTTGCAGTTTTGGACAACATTTTAACTGAGAACATGCACGTTAGGAAGCATTGACCCATAGCCAGCTGCAGAGAGGGAGGAGGAAAACGATGAAACATGCGTTATGATATCATGCTGCAAAGTCTATCCCTTTTACATTTGTGTTGTGATGTCACATGCTAGTACATAAGAGGCAAAGCTTTCATTGTGACATCACAAGATACATTTTGAAATGTTGATGAAAACATTTGCTGCCATTCTGGAATGGAGATGTTATTTGCAGAACATGTAATGTCACTCTACAGGAAAACCATGGTGAGATTCTTTTACAATCCTAACTGATAAAAAGTTGTACTGGAAAGTCTAAGGTTCAAATCTTCAATTAACTACAAAACCATCCGAATAATCTTTGGCCCAGTCATTTCTCTTCAATTAAGCTATTTCACAGAGACATTGGAGAATAAAAGAAGGGTGTGGGGAGAAAATTGTCCACACTGATTGGGAAGGAAGGTGACATAAGTGGAACTAGTTGATCCATTTGCTACTAATGTTTATTAATAAGAAAGGATATCTGTGAGAGCACCCTAGTCATTAGAGCATCTGGCCAAAATTATGCAGCCATAAAATGCATCATTTGACTAGTAACAGCAATCATACAAAATTAGTAATTTATATACAAAGTGGCAGCACCTTGAATTATCCGTCTGTTCTCAGCCTTCTCATGCTAAATTATTCTTTCAGTAAGGGCACAGGGAAAATTCATGAACTTTAAATGACAGATAGATTATTTATAACTAGGGGCACACTTCTCAGCTATATGCTTCTCGTAGTGACAAACTTTTTCATATTATAATTTGTCTATATAGCAATATTTGTATAGGGGACTGCAATGCAAATTATGGATGGTGATTACAGGATGTAAAGCTGCTGGAGAGCTGATGGTTGCAAGTTTATTTACTGTTTAAATATTCAGATATGATTATCATGTTGTTTTCTGGCATGCTTGGTCTGCTCTTTATTATTACTGCGAAAGTGCAATCTGTGACCATTTTCTGCACTGCATGATTACAACTAGCTTCCTTTATTGCTTTGACATTGTAAACTCTTCAGATGTACATCAAATACAGTTTCAGGGACAAATGGGATGGTGTTTCTTTATAATATCATACTTTACCTATGAGGCTTGTATGCACATAGCTTTTTTGTATTTTGACTTTTTCAAATAAGATGTTTGATTATTTGGCTTAAAGAATGAGATTAGGAGTTCTGAGAACTGATGTGATTCTAGTCTGAGCCTCTGTATTCAGAGTGATGAATGTATGAAGTGGAACTAAAGTGGACAGATCTCTTGCTCTCTATACTGAAACTGTCCTCCTGAACGATCAAATCTCAGCCAAAGTATTGAATTGGGCAGAAAAAGCAATTGAAAAAAATCCAGGAGAGAAAAACTGATAGCTACATTGTATATCTGCTTGCAGGCAATCTTCAGCACCTTTTGCGTATATATAAAAAAAATGTTATAAATACAGAGGTGAGGAGTCTTTGTTCATTCGCCTTTATTTATTGCTTGAGAAGTGAAACTAATATTCCTTTCAACTTTAGCTTATGAATTATGGTTCAAGCAGATCCTGTGGGAATTGGATTCTGTTCGAGTGCTATTTCAGAATGGTCATGTAAGTAGAATAGAACTGTCTTATTTAAATTCCTCTTTGGATTCTGATTCTTATTAAATGCAAATGGGATATTTGAAATTCAGCTTGTGGAATTTGGATATTCTGAACATCTACAATAATCACCAATTTTTGAAAAAAATATGGGTGCCAGTTAGACAATCCTAAATCTCTTATGACTTAAGAGCACAGTTAGAATACTTTGGGCTGCACTCCTGTACACACTTGCCGGGAAGAAAAACCATTACTTGGAAGGAAATCCCAATGTACTCACCGTTACATACTTCCAAAGACAGGAGGACAGGACCACACCAGGCAACAGGAGGTGGAAGTATGGAAGTACTGAACCTGTGCCTGGAGGCTGTTCGGGACTAACTGGATGGCAGATTGGGTAAAACAAGCTCAGATTAAACTCTAGCAAGGTGGACTACTTGTAAAGGTTATCAAATGACTGTTCTAATTCAAGCGGCCTACGGTGGGTTGTGGCTTTGTTGTTGTTGTTCTGCCTTATCAGCCAAGCATAAATAACTTCTTTTTTTATATACATATATACTAAGGTGAGAGATGAAAGGAACATGCTGAAGGTGGTTACTCGAATGCAGAGAATTTCAATAATCCTTAAATTGCTTGTGGAACAGTTTTCTATCCTAGAAACAATGACAGCATTGGACTTTTTTGACTTCAGGTATAAAAACTTCAGGTCTTTGATTCATTTATGTGTGGCAGTTCCTGTATTCCTAATGGTCCTCAAAGTTTTAAAATGAATGTACAGGCAACAAAATACTGAATATATTTCTATCAGAATGAGTAGTAATGATACCAGTAACGTATGTGGCATTTCACAGAATTGAGGAAATTGAGGAAAAGAGGTCTATATCCTGACAGGATTAAAAATCTAGAATACATTAAAGAAAAAATTATAAAGAAGAGAATGATGAAGGCAGGGGAAAACAGGAAAGAATGTAGGCATATTCAAACTACATATATTTAGGCTTAATTGCAGGTTTAACTGTGGCAAACCTGTGGTAAGCAAAATAGTTGCAGCATTCCTGGATGGCATCTAAGGATCCCTCAAAATCAATGCACGTTAACATATTTTTAAAATGGCCAAATCTCACAAGATCACCAACTCACATGAGATTTTAATGTTCCTTAATGGGATCACTGAAATTTCACAAATTTGGTGATCTAAGATTTCAGCCGTTTTAAAAAATGTTTTTTTTTGGGGGGGGGGGTTCTATTGTAGCAAAATGTTCAAAACCTGAAGAAGTGGTCAAGCTCTGTAGGGTACCCTGCTAGCTAGGAATTATGCTAAAAACTTCATATAAAATGTGAATGAGTTAACTTTTTTCAAACCCCTGAGGAAACCTATGAACACAGTAAGAGTACTTCTATCCTTATTCAGTTGTTTTGAATGGTATTCTGTATGTATTAAAACAAATATTAAGTAGTGAGTTCTAACTTAATTCCAGGTTGTAGAAACACATAACTGTACAGATATATTTGGGAATAAGCCTTACTTAACGTGTGAGTCACTTCTGATTAAGCATATCAAGGGACTGGGAGGCTACTAGAATTGACCTGATTAAAATCAATGTGACAAGTTAGCCAGGACAAACATAGGTCCAATTTATTGCCATGGGTATGATTCCATGACCAAAATTGGGATCCAGGCCAGGGTGCCTGTTTGAGCAAAGATTGGCTATTCAATAACTTCACCATTACTTGATGCAATAAAATAACACAAGGAAATCAAATATGCCTTTTTATGCTGAATAATAAGGTAGTGCTCTTTCTCTTATCCTTACAGAGATTATCTGAGTCCAGCTTCAGGATTTCAGAGTTTACAGTTTCGATTATTAGAAAATAAGATTGGTGTCCCTCAGAGTTTGAGAGTTCCATATAACAGAAGACACTACCGGGATAACTTCAAGGGAAAGGAGTATGAATTATTGCTTAAATCAGAACAAGAGCCAACGCTACTACAACTAGTGGAAGTATGATTTTTTTTCATTTTCTACTTGCCCAGCCCTGCAGAGTTGTGATCACAAAGGAGATCACAACTTTTTCTTTAAAAAAAATCAGTAAAGTTTAATTTTGCCACACTGGATTAGGAGTTCAATAACATTTGGCATGCAGAAATTGCCCAGCTCTGATTTACAGGGTTGGGCAAATATAGGTAAAATACAAGGAATTGAAAACTGGGTCGGTGTTCTGGTGGGGTGAAGGGAGTAAGGCTGCTTTTCCTAATACTTTGTTTTGTCCAAGGAGCTGCTTGTCTATGCTATGCTTTGCTATTGGCTAGTCACTGAGCGCAAGCCTGCTATTCACACATTGCAACCAATGCTATCACTTGATGTTTCACTTCATTTTGTTTTATAAGGCATGGTTGGAAAGGACACCAGGACTTGAACCAGAAGGATTTAATTTCTGGGGAAAATTTGAAGTAAATGTACTTAAAGGACTAGAACAAGAATCTGCAATGGTACAGGTACTTATTCTAATTTACCATGTTGTCCTTGGATAGATTAATATAGCCAGATTTCTAGTGGTGACCACCAAGTGCAGCACAACTTCCTGGTTGCAGTTCTATGAGAGAGCACATATATATGAGTTGTACCACCATGTATACATGAGTTTGTATATGGATCAATTTAAGCTTGCTGACATAGCTGTATTTATGCATCTGTGAGTACAACAAATAGGCACCCATGGGCTCTGACTGCTTTTGTTGAAATAATGAAAGCAGAATTGCACTGCAAGCTTTGACCTTTTGGATGTGTGGACAATGCTGTGACGCATTTACCAGAAGGATAGGTCTTATATCATGATGGCACAATGCTGCTTTTGTCATTTTGCCCTCCTTGACCATCCTGCAGATGCTACTGGTGGGGGACGAGAACATGTATCTTGCGGTGACACTGCACAAATGTCTTCTCAAATAGTTCAGTTCCCAAAAGTTGGTGTGCCGTAGATGAGAAGCATGACTTATTTTAACATCTTCAGCCACTGAACTGAATAATCTGACAAAATCTAAAATCCTCATTTGTATATTTTTTAAACAGATCTAATACTCAGATTAATTCAGGAATGGTTGTGTGGTTACAAGCAAACCGGTGTTTTAAAGAGTGAATAGGGGAATACATTATTCATAAATGTGATCACATTCATATTATATTATAGAATCCTTCTTATTCATTTCTGTGCCCAAGTTCATTTTAAGATTACAGCTGTGCATAGAGTCAATAACTGCCACCCGTGTTTAGGATATAGCATGCTTCCCCTAACTGGTGCCTTCCAGATAGGTTGAAAGCTGCAGTCTTGGCAAATCTAGAGAGTGCCATATTAGAGAAAGCTCATGAATTATCAATTGACTCATCAGCATAGGCAGCCAAGTCTACAAAAGTTTCCATCTCATGCAGACATTTTTGTGTTTTTTCATCACAAAAAACATGGGACTAAATATTATCATGAATTAAACAGAGTATTTGTGGTGGGCGGGGGGGGGGGGTAATCTCTGGATATATGAAAGACAATGAGAAAAATATTCCCCATAAATATAAGCATAAATAAATTAAAAGTTTTGTTAAAAAATAATTGTCTTTGAAAGGCTAAAGAAGACTCAGAGGAGAAAGAAGAGCAACTGGCAGAACTTAAGAAACAAAAAGAAGTACTCATATCATTGTTTGATGAAAAACGCCATGAACATCTTCTTAGTAAAGGTAAGCATACATATTAGTATATGCAGAACTGAATTTTCGGTTCCTGATAGACTACGTGAAACTATCTGTATTTGAATTTGTATATTATTTTACACTTTTTAATTTTTGCAGGTGACAGAAGATTGTCCTTTAAAGCAATGAAAGGGGCTTTAATGATCTACTTCTACAGGTGCACAAAATTTGTATTTGCCTCTGTAAATGATTTTGCTAGTAGTAATGTAGTTTCATTGGTGAGTGTTTCATTTTTGTTTTAATGTCCTTAACAAGCATGGTTAGTATTTTTGAGTATGATGTGTACTGAATACAAGCAGTCCTCACTTACCAACATTCGTTCAGCAATCATTTGAAGTTACCATGGTGCTGAAAAAATAATTTTACGGCCTATTTATGACCATTTACGAGAACTTCTCAGTGTCCCTTAGTCATGTGATCACCATTGCAGTCAGTACATGTTGTCCTGTGCCTGACCTGTGATTTTTAATTCCCCCCACCCTTGCAAAGCAGAGATTGGAGAGGAAGGGATTGCAAGAGAGTAAGCTGTTTGCTCTTCTATATATCAAAAGCAATGAGATCGTGCTGGCAGCCTGGGGCTGGGAGCCATGGGTGCACTACGCAAACAACTTACAGTACTCTCCTGAAATCTCTTACTGTCCAATTTCTCTGCTCTACAAGGGGGGTGGGGGAGCAGGCGATTTCTGTAGGCAATCTCTCCTTTGCCTGACCTCTGGATTCCACCTTATCTAAAGCTATTAGTCAAGCCTTTTGCAAACTCATCTCCCCAGCCCCCATGTAGAGTATAAGAAAGCAAATGGAGAAAGCTGCACTAAGTATTTGCTATGATAGGGTGATGCTTCATTTATCTAGTTTCTGTTTATGCTTATTTCAAAAGAATAGAAATAGGAGTAAAATCGTTATCTGAGAAGCAAATTATTATCTATTTACTGTTTTCTGCTGGTTATTTTTAGCTATTTAACTGTAGTATGTCTCAAATTGCTTTAGCACGTATATTTATCCACTTGGATTTTGCTTTTTAGCTTTAATATAAACTGATACATGGGAATTCAATCAACCATCTTCTTCTTTTCTTTAAGAGAGGAACCTCGCTTCCAGGTTCCTTTTCAGCTTCTCACTTCTCTTATGGATATTGATGTGCTAATGACTAAATGGAGATGTAAGTTCTCTTTGAGTATTCCTTTGATTCAAATAACATTACTTTCATCTCACAATGCTTCTATAGCCAACATGAAATAAGTTTTCAAGGTTGACAGTCTAGGGTTTTGTAACAGATTAAATATTTATTCCATCCTGGGGTGCCCTAGATAGGGAAAAGCTACAGGAAATGAATAAAACTGGCTTATAACTACAGGCATAACGGTTTCAGTGATGGACCCATAAATTTGAGAGTACTCAGATATTGCCTCCACCATGAAGTTATTCACATTTAGCAAATCATTTTATTTCAACTTTACTTCTGCTCATCTGGAATGGGGGATAATATTACATAACTACCTTATGGGTTTTTTTTTGTTTAAATACACCAAAATACTATATGTGATACTATATTGTGTAATAAATATACTCCAAGGTTGTGTTCTATTAAACCCTGTAGAACATATTTTTAAAAAGACCTTTATAAGCATCCACTTTGAAATAAAATAGGCAAGCATCTATTTATTTATAAAGAAAGTAGAACATCCTACCATAAAAGTTAAGTCTGTAGAACTGATCAAACAATGCTCATTTCTAACAGTGTTGCATAATCTTGATTTCTGTATGCTTAGATAACCATGTGTGTATGGTGCATAGAATGATTGGCAGCAAGGCTGGGACTGGAGGGTCATCAGGGTACCAGTATCTACGCTCCACAGTGAGGTAAGTCTAGGAAGCCAACTTCAGTTTTTGTCATTTATAAATGACAGGGCACATGTCATGTTCATATCATAAATGGATGAAAACATGGAACAAAGATTATTTAGCATCTACATATTGTCTTCTGAAAGTGAGCAATATTTCCAGAGCAGATGTCATGTTTTTAAGTTTCCAGAGGGAGTTCATACTGATCTTTTTGTAGCAAACCACCACAATATGCTGTGGGTGAAGTCTCAACTTTTGTACACATAATTATGTCTTCTCCTTGTGAATTTAATTTCCCTCTAACATGTCTGATTTCTGTTCCTCCCTCCTATCCCAGCCTATGAATATGTATGCAAGCATGCACGTGTGTATATACATACCGACATATTCATTCCTCAAATACATTCTTCATGCTACTGATCAGGAAGCATACATGCAGAGTAAATAGGAAGAAAAAAAAGGCACTTTTTTACTTTCTCTTGAACACTAGTAAACTGACTGAAAGCTTATCAGGATTAATGAAGGAAATCATAATTAATGCAGCAAATGTATTGCCATAACTTATTTTGAGAATCACTAACTCAAGCTGGACCAGAAGGTTTCTGTTGGGAGTGGTCCAAATTACCTTCATGCCCTTAACAGTTAATCACATCAATAGCTTATTTCATGCAGCTCTTTGAGAAAATAAATTAAGTCACTGATGATTTGAAATGTGGGCAACATCTGTTTGAATGTAGATGAGAATTCAGGTGGTGGGATGGAGTGGGGGTTGATAGCTGATGGGAAACTGGCTTTCCCCCCTTAATTTGGTTATACTGTGAGCCCCAACCATCAGGCCCATGGATTATGGATCTTATAATCAGACAACATTTGGAAGCCCAAGTCTGGTTATAGAGAGCTTGCTCTAAGAACTGCATGCTAACGGAAGCAAATTCTGATGGTTGTACTTTGGCTCAGTTGATGCATTTTTAGAAATTTTGTTAAATAACATTAAAATGAATGAAGCCTTCCTAAGCAAGAGATATCTAAGAAATTATGTATAATGCTACATTTTCATAGTCTGCTAGTAGGCTTTCAGTTTGCTAATTGACTTTTTTCCTTAAAAAACAAGAAGCTTAACAAATGAATCACCCCAAGAAAACCATCTTTATTATTATTGCATATTCAACAGACATGTTCAGCCCTGGATTAACCATTAAGCAAAATAAGCACATGCTTAGGGCACCAAGGAAAGGGAGCACGACAGGATTCTTTCCCCTAGCTATCATGCTGTTAACACTTTCACTGTCACAACAGTAGCCAGTTTTTTTGTAATTATCCTTATCTGGAGTGTTTGACTTTAATCTGCATTGTTAAAAAAAAATCTTTGGCATGGTAACTAAAATTTAAAAGTCTGGTTGATGGTATCGTCAGGTATCACATTTGTTTCTGTCTCATGGCAAAAGTTTCACTTCTGTTGAGGGGCGCCACTGTTGGGCCTTGCTTTAGGATATCCGTTGGCCTTAATCTGCCCATGGACACGCTAGTTAATCATTAAATAATATTTAACATGGCAGCACGAATTAGGATGACTCTTTTTGAACTTAAGCTGGATTCTTATTATGGGAACCAAATGGAGTTATTTGTGCCCTTCGCCTTTGATTATGGCAAACCAATTCGTAACTGCGTAGAGTGGCACAACTGTCCTGCACAACTCCTAATATTAATTATAGCAAAATGTTAATCCTGTCTTAATTTTACCCAGTCATAACAACAATTAGCCAGTTATATAAAGTCCCTCCTTATTCAGAGAGACAATGTATCCTTGACGAGTTATGACTAATGAGAGGTCACCATTATCACCATGTAAAACTGCAAGGTATATGGCTGCGGCAGAGAATGCAAAATGCTGCTTCTCCAGAAAGTTCAGTCTAATCCAGCAAGTTTATTCTTATGTCTTTATGACATGTTTTATATTCCAAATAACATTTTCAATTGTAAGAGTTCACCCTAAAAGGACAACGAAAGGTTGAAATCTTCTGGACTATAGGAGGTTCTCCCAGAAAAAGTAGGAGTTTTAAGATTTCCTCCCTACCATTGGAGAGATCCACACTTGTGCATACCTAAGGGTATCATTGTGCTTTTAACGTTATGATGATAAGGTGTATTGGGATCACTACAAAGCTCATCACATTCTAGCAGTTTCCCTCCTGTTAAAGTGAAAGTGACCATTCTCAACTCTTAAGCATTAGAACTGGATGCTAGTACATCAAAACTGAAAAGCCTTCGAACAAATCTAGTGTTACAGGTTGTGCCTGCCAGAAACTATAGAATACTATGGAATATTTCTCTCATTTCATTTTGTTTTTCAGTGACAGATATAAAGTCTTTGTTGATTTGTTCAATCTTTCAACTTACTTGGTGCCAAGAAACTGGATCCCAAAGCTGAATCCAACACTTCATAAATTCCTTTATACAGCAGAGTATTGTGACAGCTCTTATTTCAGCAGTGATGATTCAGATTAAAAGCTCTCCTTGGACAAGCCTTATAACCCCCATGTTTTCCATATATTCAGCTTCACCTTTGATAATGGTCATGATGGCAGAAAAATCTGGAAGTTGTGGTGTCAACACACCTAGAAGCACTGGATTGGAAAAACTTATAATATTGTGTAGACTATTAAATAATTTATGTATATGTTTATTTATGCATAATATACCGTAGGTTTTAATATATAACTATTTCAGTTAAGTCATTAGAAATAAAATATAGAGATGAGACAACCAGCTCATACTTATCTGTTTTATTTGATTTAGGCTGGCCATTTCTGATTACTGTGTTAGGCTTGCAATAAAGATACGATTTTAGGTTTATTACATTTTTAAATTATGTCTTCAAATTTCCTTGGAAAAGCTTACCCCTGAAAGCAGTACAAAAATGTTGGGCTGGAGAAAGGAAGAAAATTGCACTATACATTAAAAAAAAAACCTGGAAGAAATCAGAGATTTGTACAGGATTGGCAACAATATGCCAGAGGGGAATTGAAGGAAAATGTTATGAGCATGTTGCAAAATTAAATTTTGAATTAATGTTTTTTTTAAAGAAACCTTGTGCCAATTTTGTTATATAGAAGTTAATTGTATCAGGAGAAACAGAACATTTGAATAGAAATGGGATACTTAAGAATTATGTGGGATAGGTCAAGAATGATAGGTCAAAAGGGATAGATCAAGAATGAATGGGCGCTGAGTGAATGTGGACTGAATACAAAAGTAAGTGACCAGTACAAAAAGTTGGGATAGTATGATCACAGAGAGAGAATGAATGAAGACTGAATTGCAAAACAAATGGGTGAAGGAAGAATGATTTGGTCAAAAAAAAGATGGAGGGTATAGTTGAAGTTGGAGAAAAATGGTTGGGTACAGTTGATGAGATCCTCAAAAACAGAGAAATTTAAATAACAAAAGGCAATAGATGAAGGAGTGTATGGCTATAATCAAAGCAAAATAATTGCAAGATAGAAAGGTATAGGGAAAGGTTTCATGTAAATTAGATTTAGTTGTGCATCATTTTTGTTTCTTGTGCCTTTACTTTCTTTGGAACATAGTTTCTTACTTTTCTGCGTTACTTCAAAAGGAAATAATTTACTAGGTAAGCATGTATGTATGCAAGTTATAGGAGGCCTTATCAAACTTTACTGATGATGAAATAGACTTGCCTTGCTTTAGGAAGAGTCAGCTAACCCGCAATTATAATAGATTTCTATCTATTTCTTTCCCAATTATTACTGAATCAAAATAGGAAATCATAATGGGTAGCAACTTTTTAAGTTAAGATGCAAATAAAGCAAGTTTCTTTTCTATTTATCTTTATTGTTAAAAATCAGATGATATTGCAATGAATATATAGAAAGATTTTTGTATGACTTTTTGAGACATTTAATTAAAACTAATTATTAAGCTATTAGAACTATTTCAACTGTGATCAACCATTAATAGCAAAGACTTCAAAACTCTATATATGTGCAAAAGACTTCCACCCCCCGCCCTCCATTAGCCAAGTTGGCAATTCTAATTATTGTAGGGTTCTATTCAGTTCAGAATCAAATTCATCAACAGAGACGCAAAAACTACATTGGAATATGCCTCTAATCCCCAAATGATGTTCCAGTAGAATATAAAAAGTCACAAACCAGAGTGGAAATAAATCTCAGTAGCAGCAGAGTATCAAAGAAAACATAGTTTCTGAAAGAGTATTTTTTGAAGTTGTTTCATACATTCTGCAGCATAGGCAATATGCTAGCACAGTGCTTCTCAACCTTGGCAACTTTAAGATGTATGACTTCAACTCCCAGAATTCTCCAGTCAGCCATGCTGGCTGGGAATTCTGGGAGCTGAAGTCCACACATCTTAAAGTTGCCAAGGTTGAGAAATACTGTGCTAGTAGATCAAACAGTAATTCAAAACTTTTGGAATAAGCAGATAGGAATAGTGCAGGTGGTGCATCTTGTGAAGACAACACCTAATTCTGCGGGGCTGGCTGGCTGATTCTTCCAGGATCCAAGAACTGATATTGTCTGAATGCTGGCAACAGTCCTCTCTTGACAACAAAATTCATTGTTATAAACTAGTGCCTGCGATATTTGCCACAGATCCTTAGCAGCCATTTCACACAAATACAGCAGAAACGGAATCAGCAATACCTAGAAGGCAAGAAAACCAAATGACCATTTCATCTTTAGAGAAATCTATTGTGTCTGTTACATAAAAAAAGTATGTTGACATTTCTCTTGCTCTTAACCTGAGTAGCTTACAGAATAACAATACAACATCCCCAAAAAATATTACACAAAATATAAACATGAGTTAAAATAAAGACAATAAAACATTCAAGTTAATACACCTTAAAATAACCCATACAAGAATTAAAATCCACAGTAATACAACCATTCACAAACATCAATTCACTGTACACAGGTTCTTCCTTGAAACTTTGACAGCTGCACATTCTACTCTCAAAGGCCCTCCAGAACAGTTCACTTGTTACCACCTTCTACAAGGCCACCACAGTTGGGCTAATCAGACACCTAAGGGGACTATTTCACAGTAGCGGAGCCACAATGGAAAAGCACTGCTTCCTGGCTTCTGCCTTACTTCATAGAAATAAAGGATCATTAAGAGCTTTTCCTGTGATGATTCTTCAGCCCATACCCTTCAATACACATCACTGGTGTTTCCAATAGCTTTAAGCATGCCGACTTTTTCAGGGAAACAGTCTTAGTCATTTTTCCAAATGAACAAGAAGTACCTCCAAGTGAATATATACTAAGACCAACATGTAAATAAAAGGATTTATAATTGCATGACCACAATTTTGTCCCAATATATGACTGAAATATAATTTTTAAGAAGCTGAATTTAAGTGTAATTAAGGGTCTAAGTTATACTCAGGAAGGCATTTGGACAGTCTCCAATATTAGATATTAGATAACTTAGTTTTCCAGTGTACAAGATACCTGCCTGAAAAGAAAGTTTTGTCTAGGGGATCATTCATGTCTGCATCCAATATAAATCAGAACTTACCGCAAATATTAGAACCCATTTTAACATGAGCATAGCCATTTATTCCCCATGTTCGTCCCCAGGAGTTCCGTACGATCCAGTAGGGAATGCTACCTGTAAAATGATTTTGTTAAGTATTTAAGTATTTGTCTTTAAAAAAGAAAAAAGATGTCTGAATCTGGTTTCTTAGGGTAGCCAACTCACAACACCTCAATATGCACATGTGTATTAAATGCACAGATGCAGATTATATACAATGTCAAAATACAAGCTTCATAATACAAAAGCTGGAGCAAAGGGATTAAACTGAGAAATTAAGCTTATAATGTGATCTCAGGCATAACAACAGCAATTTGTTATAGGGTTTGTACATATGTATATTTATCCAGCCACAGAATGTATGTAAGGACTCCTCATATATAGCAAATGTAAACTATTTTCCACTGAAGTAAATAAATAAGTAAATAAACTCAGTAAACTAGCAAATTAAAGTTTACCTGTTCTATCAAAACCGGTTATAACTACAGCATGATTTGGTTCCCCACTAGAACAATGATGTTGTATGATACCACCAAGATAATCTTGCCAGCTAAGTGCATCTACAATTACTGCCAAAGGACCCCATTTAATCAGCATCTTCATCATTTCATCTTCCTGGCTGCTGCAAGACACAGAAATAATCATACACAGTCAGAATGCAATCAATCATCAAAACACTACTCTGCAATAAAACAACTCTGGTCAACCAGTATCAAGAAGTTGGCCATTCCTGGGTCTATTGAGAATTGGAAGCAACTTGTGCCAGTAAAAATATAGTAGGAAATATTTACTATTACTGCACCAATGATTAAATAGAAAATTTTGTTGTTCCAATGAAGCAGAGAATATGGAATATGTATAATCACTTCCATAAATTTGATCCAAATCCAGTAAAACCTTAATGGAATGGGCTGGGGGAAGGGGGGGTGTCCGTTAAAGGCAAATGTCTGTTAAATGCAAATTTACATAATGTATGAAAAAAATTATAATTTACAAAACGTTCAAAATTTATATACAATTTATTTCAATATGTTATGTAAGTGAATTATGTAATTCGGGTGGACTGATTCATCAAACAAGCTTTTCCACTATTTGGTGATGAAGTCAAAAGCCAGATTTTGTCTGCTGTATCCAAAGTCTGCCGAATTGGGGGGGGGGCAAGGAGGCAGTCTGTTAAATCAAGGCTTTTTGTATACACATACTTAACAGAGTTTAGTTCCCAAGCAGAATGCCTATCCAATCTGTCTGTGGTTTCACAATTGCTTGAACCACTTGTTGAAAAGATGCATGTAACAGATTATTCTACATGAGTCTGCTCTATATCCATTCAGCAGCCACAGCTGCATTTTCAGACAGTTACAAAATAGAGGAACTGAATGTTTAGATCTGATTTTCTTCTCCTCAACTTGGGGAGTTCCTTTGCTTGCTTGAATAGGACTGCTTGCTAATACATGTATCTACTGGGCAAATCTATTTAGTCTCCAAAGAAAGATTTATTTGCTATACAACTTCTCACACAGTTAGGAATTGTACCAAAGCCCATTATTTTTATTATTTATTACAGCATTTATATGCAAACAATTCCAAATAACTCTGTGTGCCTACATAACGTTTTTTTAAAAAAACAATGTCAAACATATTAGCTGTAGAATAAAGGCAGCGATTTTTAAATACTTTATCGATGTGTGTTACAATAGGCACAATTTTCTTTGAACTGATTATTCAAAATTGTAATGATAGATGTTATTTAGCTACTAAAATTGTCAATTCTAGCGTTATTTGAATAAACGCTTTTATTCAACATGTAAATGTTAGTTGAAAATCATTAACAATCAACCAACAAAATAAGTATTTTAAAATATTTTAAAATATACTGATTGGAACAAACAAAAAGAAAATGGATACTTTTCATTTATACACTGGTATTACTTAATTGTTTATACAGATTTATGAAGAAATAAATATTGGTTTTCAACTATTTGCAAACATTTGTGATTTCTATTCTGGTTGTTTTGGTGCAGTATTCAGCTATATAACCCCAAATAGCCTTGTTGTTTTTGAAGATGTTTTCAGTATCACTATTTATTCTGGCCACACAGGAAAAGAGTCAGTAGACTGTAAACAGTACCAATTCCTTTTTATGGACAACTGGGTAAATGTATAACATGTATCTGTCTCTTCATAGATTGACCTGATTTGAAAAAGATGGTATTTCCCACATACTTTTCTGCATTAACAAACCATTCTGCTTTGTCATCAGTAAGTGTCCTACATTTAAAAGCAGGAAGAGAATAGTATTAATTTTTTTGCCACAAGTATAATGGATAGAATTTATTCTGACTGGAGTATCAGGGAACTCATTTAAAGTTCTAAGAAGGATGGAGAGGGACAGAGTCCAAACTGCTAATAAACTGTGAAGTAGCTTTGTATCATCTCAAGAGTAACTGTTAAGTTTTTACTGTGTTAATGATGTTCACTCATTGTCAAGCTAACATTTTATACCTTTGAATACATAAAAGGATGCAGACATTTTAAACATTATACATATATTTATGTCACTCAATACACCAACTCCATATTGGTAGGGATCCAATTTTTGAACATGACTCCCACCATCCCTCATCCTTATCTATATAGATCAGATGGAGCTGTAACATCTAGAAGGCCAATGCTTTCCCACCTTAAGCAGTCAGGAGGAAGGTATAAAAATATTCATTAAATGTTACCTTAGATCATATGCAACGTAATCTGTTATTGAGATTCCAAAATCTGAACGTCTGAAGTAATGGCACAATTCTGTATGAGCTTTAAACAAATACTTCGAATCTCTCACCAGTCTCACACGTGTCTTCAGGAAAATAAATAAGACCAATGACTCATGATTAAATATCAATATCTTTATGCTTTTCAAAGTTATCTTTGATAGGTTCTTTGCAAAAGGGCCAAGGTAATATTGCAGTCAAACAAGTGAAATTCCTTTTTTATTGTATTACATACTATGAACAGAAAGAGATCAGGATCCCAGAACTGTTCTTAATTCCTGTTTTCTTGAGGATTTTGTGGAAAATATTATTTGAAGAACTCATGTAGTGCCCTAGGCACATTATCAATATAGCCATTGCCAATCCACTTGCTTGCAAATTCAGTGAGGCATTTGGAGGAATGCTCTGGACTAGTCTGACATTAAGTTTAGCCAGAGATATGTTTTTAATAATTCTCAGATTTCACTTCACAAAACCTGTTCACTTATTAATAGAGATTTTAAAGAAATCAATACCTGATTTAGCCAACTCAGCGCACTAATGATTGAACCACCACTGCAACCATAATTATTGTATGAACAGTCAATGACTTGCTGTACACTGAGTTCTTCCAAAACATTTCTTTTAATTGCATAAGCAGATTCTATTCCACTAACAACACTGAAAGCCCAACAGGCGCCACACTGAAAAGAAAAAAAGCATGTGCATTATTCTTTGAACAACATAGTTTAAGAAAGCATGTTTATCATACATATTATGTTATACCACTGCATGATATGGTTTCACAATGTTTTTCTGGTTATATACTGTAATCAATCTACAGGTAGTCCTCGAGATACGGCTGCAATTGGGACCGGGATTGCCATTGCTAAGCAATGTGATCATAAAGTGTGATGTCACGTGACCACATTGCTTAGCGATGGCAATCCAGGCAGTCCCAGTTGTTGTCGTAACCCAAGACGCACAGATCATTAAGCAGGGAGCTGAGAGAGTCCCAGGTAAGGAACGCGAGGGTGCCACAGAGGGGTGGGGGAAGCCCTGGGAGGTCCAGCGCACGCCACATGCAAGTCAGGAGAGGAGGTGCTTGGTGCAGTGTGAGCTCAGAAAGGCTGGGGAATGAGGGCGTGGGGTGCATTGCAGGGAGGCCACGGAGAGGGTTACATTGATGCTTGTGTGTGATTGCAGGGAGGCCTTGGAAGAAGGCATGATCTCTCACATATGTTGTAAGGATTAAATGAGGATGAGGGAAAGAACCATGCAAACTACCTTTAGCTCCTACATAATAAACATAAATTAAGTAAAAGCTACACCATGCAAACCTAATGTACAATTTATCACATCACTGCCATGGAAATAGAGAAATATCCTTGCTAGCACTAATACTACACTCCTCATATTACAGTGCAAGGCTGCCATAGAATTAAAGTCTGTATGTACAAATTTAGAAAACTAGGATTAAATAAAAATGAAATTCAGAGTTTACCTCTCCTTGATATCTCACTTCGGTAACAACATTCTTGTCCCTCCAATCAAACTTTGCTGGCAAAGGTGAATCTGTTCCCTGTAATGTAACTTGAGGAACGTATCTGGGAACTTTAGAAGGTCTACTTTGTAGGTAAATAGCTTTAAAATAAAACAAATTATTTATTTATTTTGGCTTTGGCATAGCTACGATCAGCACAGATAGCTTGTTTTGAAAGCAAGACGCTAGTATCCTTTCAACTCAGTTAATACCAATGTGACCATTTTTCTCTTAGAGATAGGAGGGCTGATTATATACTTAGCTTTCCAGCATTATGGAAGCTGTGGTCCAACATATATGGAATATTGTTCAAGAATGCACTCTCTTTGTTTTTCTGAAGCTGCTTATAGACTAGCTGGATAATATCAAATCCCCAGAATACTTTCATTCAAGATAAAGTGGTACCACTGGCAAAAAGTACACTTGGTCATATAATGCTCTGTACCTTTAAATTCTTCAGGAAATAAGTGAGAAAACTGATTTATTCCATACAAAGCAGTAATATTGTCACCGAATGATAATGAATTCCAATGCTTAATTCTCTTAATGGTTTCCTGGAAAAATAAATATACAATATATATAATTATAGCCAAAGAATTCTCAAATAGCTACACTGAAGCCATTCCACACACCTCTGCTTTCTGCCTACTACAGACTTTTGAACCAAACAGGGATGACAGCACTTGCAGAAATTAGTGAGTCAGTTTTTCACTGTGGGACCTTTCGTTAGAATATTTCTGCATCTCAAGTCAGCCTATTGTCCTCAGTTCTTCCTAATGCAGCTCTCTTGCATAGCTTTCCCAACCGTTTAATTTTTAAAAAATATATATTTTTATTTCTAACACATTTAAACCGGCCAATAGCAGTAGCTCTCTGGGCGGCTTACAATAAAACCTGCCCGACTCAATCGGACTTCTATTTAAGACCAAACGAGGGGAAAACGGATTAGCCATCTCGTACGAATCCCCACGTTAATGTAACGACTGTCCTTGCTTCCTAATCCCCGTGTATTTAAATGACAAGCTCTTGGGAAGCCGGGCCGCTGGCTCTGCAACTCCCGCATGAACCCGATCTTCAGAGGCGAAGCCTCGCAGCTGAGCGAACCGGGCTGGCGGAGGAGGGTGCTCGGTCCCCCGGAGCGCAAAGAGCAACGCCGCAGGCTGAGAAACTCTTAGGGCAGAGCGATGCAGCAAAAAGCGGCGGAAAAAGCGCGAGGAAGCCGAACAGCCGAGCCTGCGGACTGAGCCTGCGTCCGGAAAGGGTGGGGAGCGCGGGTGGGTTTCCCGCAACGAGGATGCCAGGAGCTTCTTTTGCGCGCGCCCTTCCGTACCTACCCGCAGGGCGGCTTCCTTCTTCCACTCGCTCCCCTTGGGATTGAGAAGGAGGAGGGAGAGATTTGCTGTGGCAGATTCGGGGCGGGAGCCATCCCCGAGAAAGGGAAGCAGGAACAGGAGGGCGCACGGCCGCAGGATCATGGAGAGCGGGCCGCGGCCTGAAGCCGCCCTTGGCCTCGGATTTCCCTTTCGCTTTGCTGGCCCCTCCTCCTCCTCCTCCTCCCGCTCCTGAGCTCAGCCTGGGGCGAAGGCCCGGGGTATCTTGGCTGGAGCAGTTCTTTGTACGCTAATTGTTCTTATCGCTTGAGTACGTGGAAAGGTTAGAAAGATGCCAAAAAGAAAACAAACAAACAGAAGCATGTTATAGAGCACACATACACAAATATAAACAAAGCATTAAACCTTGACCACATGCTGATCATCTTTCCATTTTTAATTTTTTTTTTACTGCCTTTGAGTCAGTGTTAACAGTGGAATCCTTGGGGTTCTCTGAGTGTGGTTGTTTTCGTGCGGACGTTTCGTTACCTGGCAGTGCTAGACTGAAGATGTTACCTTGCCAGGTAACGAAACGTTCGCAAGAAAACAACCACGCTCAGAGAACCTCAAGGACTCTGCAGTTCAGCCCTGAACCACATATTAGCTTCTATTGGTATCAGTGTTAACACCTGGCAATTGCTTGGACATGTCTCCCTGCAGTTTCATTGGCAATATTTCAGAAGTGGTTTGCCATTGCCTGTTTCCTAGGGCTGAGAGAGAGTGACTGGCCCCAGGTCACCCAGGTGACTAGAAGTTACAGTTTTCCTGGTTTGTAGCCTGATATCTTAACCACTACACCAAACTGGCTCTCTATGTTGCAGGCGAAGGGCTGTGGAGGAGTGTGAGCTGGGTCCGACCACGCTGAGCCAGATGGCACCTTTCTATCCACCTGCCAGCTTCTTGCTCCTCACTGTCTCCGGCACTGGTGGATTGCGTGCTTTTTGTTGTTGACCCAGAAAGGGAAGTATGACTGATTGTACTTTACAAATGATCTACTGTGTGAATAACAGCCCCTCAGATGTGGTGCCCTTGGGCAGTGCACAGAGTGAACAACCATATGCAGCAGTCATACTTTGGGTAGTGTTATGTGAACCCTTACAGCAAGGCTGTCCTGACTGAAGAGGTTTTCCAGGGAGCTCCCACTAGGCAGAGCTGTCAAGTCCACAAAGTCCAAACCCCAATTCAGAAGAATTCTCATGAAACCAGGCCTGGTTCATGCAGCTTAAAACAAAACATTGCTAAAACTAAAGCCTAGGTAAACTTCCCTCTATTTATCCCCCCTCCCCTTGTTGCCCTGGTGCCTCAATTCCTTTTCACCTGGTGATGACCTCTTTCCTTCCTCCCATGGATACATAGCTCCTTCCTGTCCATCAGGCCCGCACTGGCCTTGCCTGCAATCAGGTCCGGCCTCATTGCCCATATAAGGTTAAGCTCCTCACCATCTCCCATTACTACTCCTATTACAACCATTAACTACTAGCCCCCCTCCCTAGTCACAACTGGCAGAAGCAAATCTATCAAACTCCCATTGACTGCTATGCTTTGTAAAGTAACAATTGTTGGTTGATGCAGGTTCTGACATGAGCACTTCTTTCCACCCAATGTCACTCACTATGTCTACATCCTAGAAGATTCCATTGTGGACCCACAGAATTGAACTGTGACCACATTTACCTGGTACATTAATCATGCACATCTAGTGCAGGAGCAAAGTGTTTACAGAGGGAACACAGAAAACACTAGCTTGGCAGAAGCCCAGCAGAAACCTGGGGGTCTGCCTGTCTGTTTGGTGTTTCCCATGTTATGTAAGAGTTTGGCTTGGCTAGATTCAAGAGCAATGTGACCAAGAGAATGATAGTGGAATTAGCCTGTACCATGTGTGTTCATGATTTTATCTTTCCACCATAATGAAGATGACAGACAATTGTTTAAAAACATTTATAAGGTGTTCTATGTTGTTGTTGAATTAGCTTCCTGATAATATCATAGAATTAAAGTTTATGAGGGTTGGCAATATCTAGTTCAACTCCCTGCACAGTGTAGAAATTTACTATTGCAGCATCCCTAACAGATGGCCATCCAGCATATGCTTGAAAAACCCCAGTGAAAGTCCACAGTATTCTGAGGCAGTCTATTCTATTGTGAATTGTACTTACTAATAGGAAATTCTTCCTGATGATCAGCCAAAATCTCCTTCCTAATAATTTAAACTTACTGTTCCTTTTCTCGCCATATGGAACAACACTGAACAAGTCTACTCTGCTTTCTTTATATGACAGCCATTCAAATACTTGAAGACAGATATCATACAGTATATCCCTCTGTAGTCTTCTCTTCTTCAGGCTAAACTTACCCAACACCTCCAAGTATTCTTCATAATTTTTTTCGTTGAGTCTCCTCCTATCTTCTGGACATGCTTCACTTTGCCTATGTCTTTCCTAAAATGAGATGCCTAGAAGTGGATACAGGACTATGACATAATATAGAGGAACAATAAATACTTTGGTAATTGGCACTATATTTATGTTAATGCAGTCTAATCTTGCATTTGTGTGTGTATGTGTATGTGTGTTTTGCTAGTGCAACATACTGTTGGTTCATGTTCAGCTTGTGATTCACCAAGACACCCTGATCCTTTTCACATACACTGTTACTCAATATCTTGTTGGCTTCTGCCCACTGTTCCAGCTTAACAAGATCTTCCTCCACCCTTAAACTGTCCTGTAAGATGTTTATTTTCACCCCTATCTTTGTGCTGTCTGCAAATATGCTGAATAATACAGGACCTAGAACAGAGCCTTGCAGTACATCAGTTGACACCTCCTTATCAGTTGATATGAATCTATTGACATATACATGTTGAGTGTGATTGTTCAGCCAACTCTGTATCTATCTAATGGTAGTATAGTCCAGCCCACCTTTTGCTATCTCCTGTATTAGTTTTCATGGGATATTTTATTTAATGCTTTACTGAAGCCTAGGTACACTGTATTTACCACTTTCTTGTGGTCTCTGTATCCAAAAAGGGGAGTGGATTGGTTTAGTATTACTTGTTCTTGATGCTGGCTCCTGACAAGCCATACATTGTTTTCTAAATCCTCACAGACCAACTTTTCCAGAATTTTGTTCAGTGTTGATATCAAGTTATTTGGTCTATAGTCACTGGGTCATCTTTTTTCCCTTCCCTTTTTGTTTTTGAAGATAGGAATAACCTTTGCCCTTTGCCAGTTCTCTGCCACTATGCCTGTCCTCCTTGATTTCTCAACGATTACAGAAAGGAGCTCCAATATGATGTGCTTCTTCAAGGCTTGCAGATATAATTGGTCTGGTCCTGGAGACTTATTACTTTTTCTTAGTAGTCATATGCTCCCTAACCATATTTTCCTTGGTTTGCCACTAGTTCCTTGTGTCAATTGTTCTGCTTTAGTCCCTTTGAATACAGTTTCCCTTTAGGAAGAAGACTGAAGCCAAGAAAGAATTGAGGAGCTCTAGTCTCTCCACATCCCTTGTCACCATCTTATCATCTTCTCCAAGCAATGAGTCCACCCCTTCCTTTTTTCCCCCTCCTACTACTGACCATTCTATTGTTTTTAGTGTCCTTGTAAGCCTAAGGTCATTTTGTGTGTTAGATTTTTTTTTTTACTTTATTTATTCAAATATTAGCAAATTGCTAGTATCCTTCCTTAGTGATTGCTCTTAGCTCAACTGAAAGTTCCCTATGCATTCACTATGGTTTCCTAAACTGCCCCCTATTTTTATTTCTCATTCAAATTTTATTTCCAATATATTATTTTTGAGAAGTTCCCTCTTGCATTCCTTATCTGAAGGTTTCTATCCATGGAGCCTACCTAGTATTTCGCTAAACTCGTTGAAATTTTCTGCTTTAAATCTAATGTGCATGTAACAATAATAATAATTTATTAAACTTGTATGCCGTCTGACTCCCAATGACTCTGAGTGGTTCACAACAAAGAAACTACAATGAAACTGATAAAAGAAGGTAAGCATGACAGACAAGATGAAATGAAGCAAGGCCTGGGTGAATAGCCAGGTCTTCACAGCTCTTCTAAACAACAGCGAGGATGTGGGTGGGGCATCTGGATCTCAGGAGAACTTCATTCCAGAGGGCAGGTGCTGTTACCCAGAAGGCATGCTTCCAGGGTCCTGATAGATGCTATTGTTTAATTGAAGGAACCTGGAGCACGCCAACCCTGCAAGATTGAATTGGCTGGGCAGATATTATGGCAGTCAGGCAAGAGAGCTTCCCATTGCCCCTTTTCCAAAAGGAAGTTGGTCACTGTAAACATGCCCTTTGGCCAACAGCCCATGATGCAGTAAGAAATAATGATAATTCACCTCTCTTATCACCATGATGTAGGCTTGAGCTCATACCCCTGCTTATTCAGTTTCATTTATCATCTTTTTCCACTGGTGCTCCACTCATCTCTTCTGCCACTTCATCTTCTGAAGGTGCTTGGTATCCAGAAAGCAATCTGGTATCAGCTGACAGAGGCTGTTCTAGGTAAATTGTGTCACGTGCTTGGGTCACCATCTCTTGCTAGTGGCTAACCAGACACTCAACAGAACTGACTGCAAGATTATTGGGAGAACTTTCCGGAAACCATCTGGATCCATGAGATATCCGGGGCAAAGCATTTTTATTTATTACAGAAGTCCTGGGTGGCAGCCAATCTGAATCAATACAATCAATATTGATAATAATTCAAGAGGTTTAGAAGTAATGAGACTGGACCAAATTGGAACTTAAAATATGTTTTAATTGGATATATTACCAGTCTGCAGTTTTAGGCAATCCAAATTCTTTTTGCAATAACTCAGATGGTTTAAAAGCTTGTTTGTCAATAAGCCAAAGATTAATACAGTACTTATTTAGAATTCAAAATATATGCAAACTAAAGAGCATCAGGATTTCTAAACTCAGTTTCTCATGCTGCAATGGCTACATGCTAATTCTGTAAGTCTAAAGTTTCTATTCTATACCTGTGGTTTTTAAAAATGTCAAATATCAGTGAGTTCAAGTAGGATTAAGTGTGCTTGCCTCTGTGTTGAATTATGGCTATTATGTTAGAAATCAGTGATGGGTTACAAAATGCACATGCACAACATTATTACCTCACATGGGTATAAATAATTTGTGATATTCGTT